GTCCCTCGTTGTCTGAAGTGGCCCCGTGGTTAAAGAACAAGCCGTCTGACACCATGCCAGGTGCTAGACTCGGCTAAGGCCCCAATGCCGGAGGGCAAACTGGTCATGAGACCTCCCATAGGGCAGTGGAGCACCCTCTGTCCCCAGACCAGAGGCTTAAATCCCTGTCTCCGTGGCCTAGGACCCTGGTACCACATTCCCAGTCTCGGGTCAGAAGCCCAGGTCCCCGACACCGCGCTCTCCCCCTACAACACATAGGACACTGGAGTCGAGGCACCAGTCGCCGTAGCACTGATACCAGCGAGCTGCCCTCCAAAGATCGCCACTGTGCAAGTCACCCTTGCCCAGATGGTCTCCAAGACATCGGTCCCCACTGGGGCAGGATCGCTCCCCGTCACAGCACTGGTCTCCATCCCCTCAGTTCCACTTGTCGGGCAGGCACCGATCCTCGTCCTCACCTCGCTAGTCGCCAACCAGGGTCAGTCGGCAGACTCAGGCCTCGATGGCTCCGCCCCGGTCTCCGTCGGGCAATGGTCGGCCTCGGACCTGGAGTTCAGCTCCTCGCCAAGGAGGGGTGATTTGCTGCCGAACTGCGAAGCTGGCGCAGCACCTGCAGCGACGGCATGGCAGCAGGGACAATGGTCCGCTCAATGGCCATACTGGAACCCGTGGGGCGTGCCCATAATGCCAATCCTGTATTCCCACCAGTCCTCCCTGACCGCCTCGGACAAACCGCCGCTGGTACTGAATCCAACGTGGGGGGCAGCGCATAGGACTCCAGCATCTAAGGAGCTGTCCCCAGAGAAGGAAGGGGAACCCGCCTCTCCCCCCAGTGGTGCACTCGTCGTCATCTCCTTCCTAAACGGGCAGCCCCCCGATGACTTCAAGGAGCACCAGGCTCTCCTTAAGAGAGTGGCTACGAACTTGAACTTAAAAATTGAGGAGGTCCTGGAGGAGTCTGACGACCTCTTTAACTTTATATCCACCCCGGCCTGGGTTGCACTGCCCATCCACCCAGGCATCCTTAAAATTGCTAGATCACTGTGGCACACCCCCCTCTTCAATTCCACTTACTTCTAAGAAGGCTGAAAAAAGCTATGTCCCTGCAAAAGGGTTCAAATATCTGTGGCATCACTGGTCAATATTGACTGCTATTAATGAAAGGGATAGGCAGGGCCAAGTCAGTGGCACGCTGAAAAACAAAGATGCCAAGAGACTGGCATTTGGCAGAAAGATTTATTTGATAGCAAGCCTGCAATTTCAGGTGTCTAACCAACAGTCCCCGTTATGCAGGTCCAATTTTAACCTGTAGGACTCCGTTAACAAATTCAAGGAGGCCCTTCTGTAGGACTGAGCTCAGGAGTTCGCTGCTTTGGTGGACAAAGGCACAGTTGTGGCAAGGGGGGCCCCTCAGATGGACTGGGACACTACTGACTCAGTGGCCAGAATGGTCGCCTCCGCAGTAGCCATGAGGCACATCTCCTGATTGCAGTCCTCCAGGTTATCCTAGGAGATGCAGGCCACTATACAGGACCTCCCATTTGAGGGGACGGGGCTCTTCTCCGAGATCACAGACTTGAGACTCCATGGCCTTAAACACTCCCATGCCACTCTCCGCTCCTTGGGCCTCCATACTCCTCACCAGGCCAGGAAGCCATTCCGCCCTCCAACTCCTCCGCCTCCTCAGTCTAGGTCTTGGGGGACTCCCTGACTTGACATCTACAGGAGGAAGGATAAAGACAAGGGGTCTAAGCAGCAACACCTGTCATCTTCCCGTTCATCTGCTCAGCTTGTGTCTTCCAGAAGCAGTCATTTTGAGGGTGCCCTTGAGGACGATGCCCCAGTCACCTCCCAGGATCCACCCTCCCACTCTTTCCTCGACTGCCTCTGCCTCTTCCGGTTGTCCTGGTCTTAGCTGACCACGGACTGTTGGGTGCTCAAAGTAATATCCTCAGGTTACATCCCGATACACCTAGAATGGAATCAACATGAGCACGCACTCGAAGAAGAAAAAACAGTTACCTGTCTTTCATAACTGTTGTTCTTCAAGATGTGTTGCTCATGTCCCTTCCATTACCCGTCCTCCTACCCCTCTGTCGGAGTTGCTGGCAAGAAGGAATTGAGAGGGCATAGGGTTGACGGTGCCTATATACCAGCGCATGGGTGGGGCACTCAAGGGGACGCCACAGCTGACTCTACGGATACTGCTAAGGCAAAAATCTCTGACGACTTCATGTGGGCACGCGTACACCTAGAATGGAATGGACATGAGCAGCACATCTCGAGGAACAACAGTTATGAAAGGTAGGTAACCGGTTTTTCTCTTTTAAAAGAAATGGAGATTTTGTGAGATAAGTATGTTGTTCCCGGTAGGTATTACTACAGAGAAATTATCTGATAGAATAAGAAAGTAGGATGAGGGCGGGACATGGACAGAACAGAGGCCAAAATAGAATGAAGGGGAAGAGGCAGAGTAATAGAGAAGGGTGTGGCCATGAAGAAGAGGTTTTCATAATATAGAAGTGGACATGGGAGTTAGTGAGGTGGTGAAGCAATAGTGTATAGACATGTAAATAAAAAGTATACTTAAGAGTTCCAAATAGCCTGAAATTTGGATGGAATTGTAAAATGTGATGTGACAAATGCATGAAATCAGCAGTTTGCCAAAGTAAGTGATGTAGAAATAGATATGGGCTAAATGGTGGAGGCAGCTGGCGCAAGGAGTTGCAGTTTGAGGTTCAAAGTGACATGTGCAGCTGTCACACATTGAGCCTGAGAAAGAAAGGGAAGGTGGAAGTAAAGAAGGGAGGAGAAAGCTAACCTGGAGATGTGATTGAAGATACTGTGCTTACCAGATAGGATGATGCCAATCTTGTGGGATCAGTGAAAGTTGGTATCACAGCTGCCAACTTCATCATGTCTAATGCAGTTCGGGAGTGAAATGACATTCTTAGCAGCAGCAGATTAGGAATATACTTTACCAGGTGGGTGAATAGAAGCAGGACTGAAAAAAAAACTTTGGAGATATTAGTATCTGTGGATCTGAAGAAAGTCTGGTTGAGAGCTGGGTGTTCCTGTCAGACTCCATAATGATCAGTTCCCTTATTCAACAAGTTTGTCTAAATTTACATTAGCACCCAGCCATCTTGAAGTACTGGGTGACATCACTAATTCAGAGAGTGACCTTGCTCACAAATTCCTCTGCTGAAAACTTCACTTGGCAAACAGTAAACACCATAGCAGTTATACAGCAAATTGTTACACCTTAGAGATTAATTCAGTTTGTGGCTCAGAGTCTTTATAGAATCATGCATTTGGGAACTGCTTGAAAACTGTATGTTCTATAATATCTAGGCACAGTGGGGAACAGTTTAAAGGCATGTCAACCTTCCTTGCTTTTGTAGGGCTAAGGCCTTGTCTACACTCAGGTTTTGATGTGGGCATGAGTCTTTCCTACCAAAATAATCACTACAATCCCTAGCTTGGGTCCAGTTATATTACTATTATAACAAAGGTGCCTTTTACCAGTATAGGTTATTCCCTTTGCTATAGTAGTATAAGGCAGTGGTTCTCAACCAGGGGTCTGGGGCCCCCTGGTGGGCCACGAGCAGGTTTCAGGGGTCTGCCAAGTGGGACCAGTGTTAGACTCGCTGGGGCCCAGGGCAGAAAGCCTAAGCCCTGCCATGCAGCGCTGAAGCCAGGGGCCCTGAGCCCCGCCACTTGGGGCTGAAGCAGAAGCCTGAGCAACTTAGCTTCATGGGGCACCCTGTGGCTTGGTCCCCTGGGCAACTGCTCTGCTTGCTACCTCTTAACGTCAGCCCTGACTTTTATATGCAGAAAAACAATTGTTGTGGCACAGGTGGGCCATGGAGTTTTTATAGCATGTTGGGGGGGCTCAGAAAGAAAAGGGTTGAGAACCCCTAGTATAAGGCACCTTTATATACTAATAAGAGTCCACACTGTTGAGGTGTGGGGTTGGTACCATTTTACATTTTAACTATACCACTATATAGTTAAAGCAGTATTACTGGTGTATGGACAAGGACTAAGTCATGCCTTTGACACTTCTGATCTTTGTAACATCATTTGTGTATGTACAAGCACCTGGCTTATTTGGTGTCCAGAGCTTTTGCATAGAGTTCTACATCTTCAAGAATAAGCCTGCGGATGGGCAAGTTCCTTCTTTCTCTAAGATCTTGGAATAGCTGATTTGCATTTCAGTGACTTTCCCTGAAACCTTGATCTCTTGGTTTCCTTTGAAATTTTCAGTTTCAGGGTAGTTCCTTTAAATGTAGTAAACTACTGTACTTCTGTCTGCTAGAAAACTGGAAAGGTTGCCTTGCTGGTGTATTTTGAAGGTGAAGAAGAAGGATATGCAAGTGTGGCAGAGCTAGCATCTGCTCTCTACATGCTTTTTGGCCAGATAAGACATTCTCTTGTGGGGACTTCATGTTGTTATACAGCTTAACAAAAGAAAAGGAAGATGCTCTCTATTATTAGGATGCCCTCAGCCAGGGGTTGGGGAGGAGATAAATAAATTAGTCAAAATAAACACAGTATACAGAGTCTAACTGTCCAGGGTTCATAATGCAGGTACCTACCAAGTTTTAGGCATACCGTGGGGAGTTTTCTCCTGTTGTAATCAGCTTGCGGAAACACACATATGTTGCAGGTTTTGGGATTACAGCCAAACTACACAAGTTTCCTGGAGTAATAGTTGATCTCAATCCTCTAGGTCCCTGAAACACTTCTAGAACTATAGAAAAGTACAGTTACCATCTAGTTTGGTGCTCCCTCTTAGTGATGAAACTGGGGTTGGGTGTGTCATGTTCAGAAAGGGTGGTTCTCAATGCCCCATCACAGAGAGTACTGGATTTCATACAGGAAAAATATTCAGGGAACTGAGCAAAGGATATTTCCATAGCAGGAAAATACAGACCAAGTATTTTTTTCAGTTTATTAACTAATAATCTGCCTTTCCTTTTTTCCCCTGGTGACAGTATTTGATGATGGGGATGAGAAGACTCTTAGACGCTCTTCTCTTTGCCTGAAAGGAGAAAGACATTTTGCTGAAAGTGAGGTAAGTGATTGGTGTCAGAATGAACACATCTTAATTCCACAGTGTTTATATTTAAAAATAATCAAAACAATGCCTTTCATCCCAATTTCATCAGTTTAATTAGTGCCTTAGACTTTCAAAGGCTAAATATATTAATGCTGCTAAAATTGTGACTATGCAAAATATAATCCACAAAGTCTAGCTCATTCCTTTACACCCAGAAATAAGATTTGAGAGTGACTTCTCCAAACTAAAAGTTGCCGTCAAAATTGACACTTTATATTTATTTTTTGCATAATGGGGTTCAGTGATATTACTTTATAAGTTGAATTATTTTTGCTAGAAATACTTTTCTTAGCTTTCTCAGTAAGCATTGATTGAAAAAAGATACTGCAGTGTAGTGCATGACACACATTATGATTTGTATCTTCTCACATAATTACACTTTAATGGGAGCTGGTGCAAATGACCATGTTTAATTTGTAAATATTGTTGTAATAGCTAATAAATTTGAAATCTCAGATACTCTGTGTGCTGTTGTTTTAGGTAGATTATAGCCTCTTGTCACGTGTTATTTTGAAGAAATGTTTGTCCCTCCAGAAATAAAAAATCTTTTCATATTTGTTTGATGTTCTAGCCTACAAATTAATTACTTCTAAAATATATAAATGCTTTCTAAACAATTACAGTGTTAAGTCAGATGTTTATTTCTGCTTATTACACAAGACCGTGTGAACAGACAGACAAGCAGATGGACCAATATATGTGAACATGTTAATTTATCAAAGAGCTGTTTGAGAAAGTGTTCTGCTCAGTAGGAAAATTCTTTCTGTGCTATACTCAATTGAGCATGTTGCTCAGTTGTTGTGAATTAGGCATTTTTACTGTGCCTTTGTTAAGGTACTCAAATTCTCTCACTAAAAATTCCAAGTGTATGTGCCTAACATTAAGCTCCTAAGTACCTAAATATGGATTTAACTATCAGTGGCCTAATTTTCAAAGATGATGAGCATCTGCTGCTCCTGTTGAATTTTTGTGATTTGTAGATTCTCAGTGCTTCTGAACATCGGGCTGCTTATATATATTAAATATGGGGTTAGGAGCCTAACTTTAGGAATCCATATTTGAAAATTTTGGCCATGATTATTATATAGGTTAATCTACCTTCCTGCTTTATGATCAAGAATGTCCATCAGTCCAGATTATTGTCTCTGATTCGCAGAAACCTAATTTTAAGGTAACCTCTCCTACTTTTCATTTTTGCCAGTCCCTTTTCTTTTCGGGTATCTGAGCACTTGGTGTTTAGCCAAAAATCACTGATTTCCAGTTCCCTCGCTGTAATTGGGAGTTTACTCTGCTGTCTAGTAATTGGTTCATGATATGTATTCCTTTACACTTGGAAGTTAAAATTGCACCTCCACTTTCTTCAGCACTTAGGCCATGTCTAAACTACAGTAGAACCTCAGAGTTATGAACCCCTCAGGAATGAAGGTTGTAACTCTGAACAAAATGTTATGATTGTTCTTTTAGAAGTTTACAATTGAACACTAACTTAATACAACTTTGAAACTTTACTATGCAGAAGAAAAATGCTGCTTTTAACCATCTTAATTTAAATGAAACAAGCACAGACAGTTTCCTTATCTTGTCAAATCTTCTTTTTAAACTTTCCCTTTATTTTTTAGTTGTTTACATTTAACACAGTACTGTACTGTACTAGCTTTTTTGTTTTGTTTCTGCTGCTGCCTGATTGAATACTTCTGGTTCCAAAGGAGAGGTGTGGTTGACAGTGGTAACTCTGAGGTTCTAGTGTACATCATTTACAGTGATGCAGCTGCACCTCTAGCGCTTGTGGTGAAGATGCTCTAAGCCAACGGGAGAGAGCTCTCCCGTTGACTTAATAACTCCTGCCTCTACGAACAGTGGTAGCTATGTCAGTGGGAGAAGCTCTCCTGCTGACATAGCACTGTCTAAATCAGTGCTTAGGTTGGTATAATTTACGTTGCTCAGGGTTGTGGATTATTCACCCCCTAAACAACGTAAATTATGCCAAAGTAATTTGTAGTGTAGACATAGCCTTAGAATTATGCCACGGTGCTGTTCTCTTGTTCTGAGCTAGGGTTTTAATTCTGTCCATGCCCATCATTCTGTGTAGAGTAAATATGCAACTTCCATCACAGTCACAGACAGATGTGTGTTTGCTTTTTGGTTTGAAAGAGGTGGGCTTCATCAGCTGCAGTGAGTTCAGTCTGACCTACAGAATATTTTTGATGAGAATCTGATGTATTCTTCATAGTTTGAAACTTGCATAGAATGAGAATGGTAAGACAAAGAAAGTTTTCACACTTCTTGAAGTGTAGTCTGATAACATTTGTTTATTGTGTAACTGGGGGAAATATATCTTGGTTTTTATGAATATGATGCCTGCCTTTATGTGTGTATATATGATGGGTTACTTGCTATGGAGTTAAATCAAAAAGGGTTAAAGGAACCAAGCAGGAAATGTATAATAATGGCCTAGATAAGGGGCATCCCAAGGAAAATTCAAACACAATAGTAAGGTTTATTACCATGAATAGTGACTCCTCAGCCCCAAATCTGGTGACATAGCTGTTTTGCCAAGGCTAGGAAGAGAGAGAGAAAAGGGAACACTAAGACATTACAGGATCCTGGATATAGAAAAGGATGAGGGTTGTGTGAGTGGCCAGAAAACTGCCCAGGAAATGACAGGAAGAGCTGACAGGCTGGCAAGGAGACACACAGAAATAGAAAGAGCCTGCTGCAAGCAAGACAGTCTGTTATTTCCAGCTGGAGATGGAGGTTAGCTGGAGTGAGGGGAATTTAAAAAGCTGGCAAGGAAAGATTAGGGTGTAAGTAAGACCCATGTGTATATGCCTTTTATTGTTTTTAGCCTTTAATCTGTGTGCTTTGTACCATTGGGGAAGGAATAAAAAAAACTGTATTTTGAAGATGGGTTCTTGAGTCACTTCAATCCGCTCCTGGGTGCTAGGAGTGAAAGAGCTTACAGGCATCAACTGCAGTTGGACCTGTTGCATTAACACGGTTGGGAAAGGGGCCCTGATGCTTAGAGACCAAATCCCAGAGTGGTTGGTTGCATGGTTCCATCTAGAGTGAGGTGCAAGACACAGGGCCTGTCACTTGAGGGTATACTTGAGAGGGACTAGAAGGGCTCTAAGATGCAGTTTGCCCCTTAACTGTGTCAACTTGCATTTAAATAACAATAAAATATGCCAATAGAAAAAGCTCTAGGTGCCCTAACAACCAATTATTTACAATTGTGAATGATAACAGAGAACGACTGTTCCATAAGACTCCCATTTCAAAGGCTTACTATATAAGGTGCTGGAGGTCTGTGAGATCCTTCTTTTTTCACCCTCATGCTGAAAAGACCTAAATTAAGATCTTGTGCTCTCTCAGCCTTTCCAGACAGTAAGTACCCCCTTCCTAAATACATCTGTTTTAGAATCTTTGAGGAACATGTTGTTCTTGCCAGACTCTGTTCTTCACTCTTGCAAGAACACAGTTGTGTAATATTTTGTCATTAATTGATAAGAAAGTTAACTTCATTTGGTTTGCTGGTCTCTGTTGATCTGCCTTGCTAACTTCAGTTTTTCTACATGAGGGACATTTGTCCATTTCCCTTACATGTATAATTGGGATGTGGATCTAAGAGTGCTTCAGAAGCAGAATGTGCTTCAGAAGCAGAATGTGCTTCATCTAGCAAAGGGAAGGGAGTATCTCATATCAGGCTGTCAGACCCGCTGCCTGAGTTTCAGTTCTCCTTTACTGATAAGTGGTCTCAGAACAGGGCCTTCAGGGTGTGTGTGTGTGTGTGTGTGAAAGGATGTGTAGAAGAAGTTAGTTTCTGTGAAATGTTAATTTCTAAAAGACAAGCCCATTGTTTTTAAAGCAGTGCTGTCTCTGCTCTAAGTACATTGTCAGTAGGGAGACTTTCCAGTTACAAAAAATACATTTATTAAAGTATATACAAACTTAGACTTTGTATAAACTCTTGAAAAATTGGTTTGAGTTTAATGAGTTTAACGATCTTCCAACAGACATTAGATCAGCTCCCACTCACGAACCCTGAACATTTTGGTACTCCTGTCATAGGAAAGAAGACAAACAGAGGAAGGAGATCTAATCATATGTAAGTTAAATATCTTTCAATCATTTGTTTGAGCTCTGCATTAATTTACCTTGTTATATTGCATCATTAATTCCAGAAGTTTTTGTATGTTTCAGACTTCTATAAATTATTAAGATACTTAGCAAGTTGAGTGAAAAGTGACATTATTCTAAAGTTGAAGGGAAAGTCAGGAAATAATTTGCCCTGTGTTGCTGTACTGCAAGGCTTGTAACAAGTGCTCAATGTGTTTTCCAGCTAGCACAATTTCACTGTTCATTGTGGACAGGAATTTAAAAAAGAAAAAATAAGAAAAAAACATGCAATAGATTTCCCTCTGGCAGGATACTAGCATAGGTTCTGAAAACAGTAGTTGAAATTGTGTTGGGCTCTATCTGTTTGAAAACTTTTTCAAACAGTTACAAGTCTATGATGGAAGGCTTTCTCTAGCTGACATGAGGTCTTTTTAGCCTTTAGGGTCCTGAAGCAGACTTGGGAATTCTTTACATAATTCTAGTCCCATGGGTATATATTGTTCACCCTCTTCAAAAGGGTACAACATTTGCAACCAGATGTGACACTGAAGAATAAACTGCTACAAATATGGTGTCCAAATTTCCATGGGACAAAACATCTTGATAGTCATGATCTATAGAAAATCTACATTAAAATCTCTATTGAATAATTCCTCTTTCTTTTGCGTTAACAGCTCCAATGGTGAGCACAAGTTATTAACATAGTTATCAGAAGGTAAGCTGGTTGTAAAGAATCCAAGTTACTGCTCTTTTAGCTTTGTAATTGGACCTCTTGGATAGTATCTGCAAAGTAATGTTCAGTATTTTGCTCTGTGTAATTCATTTGTCAGCTTTTACTCCTGGGGGAATTCTGTGCCAAAATATTTAAGATTCTGCACAAATATTTTAAAATTCTGCATATTTTATTTATCAAAATAACACAATATAATAACACCAGTTTTAATTATTTTGGTCATTTATTTCAAAATACCTGTCAGCAAGTATGTCTGTAACAATATAGACAACCAAATAGATTCAGGAAATGTTTTTTGAGAAATACATTCATTACTAGGCATCAAAAACGAGTCTGGCGGCACCTTAAAGACTAACAGATTAGTTAGTCTTTAAGGTGCCACCAGACTCCTGGTTGTTTTTGTAGATACAGATTAACATGGCTACCCACTGATACTTGATTACTAGGCATATTAACACAAAACTTTGAGTAATAATTCATTTAAACTACAATCCAGAAACATATTTTCTGCTTTCCTCAGAAGTAGTGCAAAGGCTTGGGGGACTCAGGGGTAACAGAGTAACTGAGTAGGTAAGTTTTAGGAACGTGTAGGGGACAATTTCCTGGTGCAAGTGCTGGAGGAACCAACTAGAGGCAGAGCTCTTCTTGATTTGCTGCTCACAAACAGGGAAGAATTAGTAGGGGAAGCAAAAGTGGCTGGGAACCTGGGAGGGAGTGACCATGAGATGGTCGAGTTCAGGATCCTGACACAAGGAAGAAAGGAGAGCAGCAGAATACAGACTCTGGACTTCAGAAAAGCAGACTTTGACTCCCACAGGGAACTGATGGGCAGGATCCCCTGGAAGAATAACATGAGGGGGAAAGGAGTCCAGGAGAGCTGACTGTATTTTAAAGAATCCTTATTGAGGTTGCAGGAACAAATCATCCCAATGCGTAGAAAGAATAGTAAATATGGCAGGCGACCAGCTTGGCTTAACAGTGAAATCCTTGCTGATCTTAAACACAAAAAAAGAAGCTTACAAGAAGTGGAAGATTGGACAGATGACCAGGGAGGAGTATAAAAATATTGCTCAGGCATGCAGGAGTGAAATCAGGAGGGCCAAATCACACTTGGAGTTGCAACTAACAAGGGATGTTAAGAGTAACAGGAAGGGTTTCTTCAGGTATGTTAGCAACAAGAAGAAAGTCAGGGAAAGTGTGTGCCCCTTACTGAATGTGGGAGGCAGCCTAGTAACAGAGGATGTGGAAAAAGCTAATGTACTCAATGCTTTTTTTGCCTCTGTCTTCATGAACAAGGTCAGCTCCCAGACTACTGCACTGGGCAGCACAGTATGGGGAGGCGGTGACCAGCCCTCTGTGGAGAAAGAAGTGGTTCAGGACTATTTAGAAAAGCTGGACGAGCACAAGTCCATGGGGCCGGATGCACTGCATACGAGGGTGCTAAAGGAACTGGCAGATGTGATTGCAGAGCCATTGGCCATTATCTTTGAAAACTCTTGGCGATCGGGCGAGGTCCTGGATGACTGGAAAAAGGCTAATGTAGTGCCCATCTTTAAAAAAGGGAAGAAGAAGGATCCGGGGAGCCAAGTCAAGTCAGCCTCACCTCTGTCCCTGGAAAAATCATGGAGCAGGTCCTCAAGAAATCAATTTTGAAGCACTTTGAGGAGAGGAAAGTGATCAGGAACAGTCAGCAGGGATTCACCAAGGGCAAGTCATGCCTGACTAGACTAATTGCCTTCTATGATGAGATAACTGGCTCTAGGGATGAGGGGAAAGCAGTGGACGTGTTATTCCTTGACTTTAGCAAAGCTTTCGATACGGTCTCCCACAGTATTTTTGCCAGCAAGTTAAAGAGGTATGGGCTGGATGAATGGACTATAAGGTGGATAGAAAGCTAGCTAGATCATCGGACTCAATGGGTAGTGATCAATGGCTTCATGTGTAGTTGGCAGCCGGTATCAAGCGGAGTGCTCCAAGGGTCGGTCCTGGGGCCGGTTTTGTTCAACATCTTCATTAATGATCTGGAGGATGGTGTGGATTGCACCCTCAGCAAGTTTGCAGATGACACTAAACCAGGAGGAGTGATGGATACGCTGGAGGGTAGGGATAGGATACAGAGGGACCTAGACAAATTAGAGGATTGGGCCAAAAAAAATCGGATGAGGTTCAACAAGGACAAGTGCAGAGTCCTGCACTTAGGATGGAAGAATCCCATGCACTGTTACAGACTAGGGACCAAATGACTAGGCAGCAGTTCTGCAGAAAAGGACCTAGGGATTATAGTGGACGAGAAGCTGGATATGATTCAACAGTGTGCCCTTGTTGCCAAAAAGGCTAACGGCATTTTGGGCTGTATAAGTAGGAGCATTGCTAGCAGATCGAGAGACGTGATCATTCCCCTCTATTCAGCGTTGGTGAGACCTCATCTGGAGTACTGTGTCCAGTTTTGGGCCCCACACTACAAGAAGGATGTGGAAAAATTGGAAAGAGTCCAGCGGAGGGTAACAAAAATGATTAGGGGGCTGGAGCACATGACTTATGAGGAAAGGCTGAGAGAACTGGGATTATTTAGTTTGCAGAAGAGAAGAATGAGGGGGAATTTGATAGCAGCTTTCAACTACCTGAAAGGGGGTTCCAAAGAGGATGGATCTAGACTGTTCTCAGTGGTACCAGAACAAGGAGTAATGATCTCAAGTTGCAGTGTGGGAGGTTTAGGTTGGATATTAGGAAAAACTTTCACAAGGAGGGTGGTGAAGCACTGGAATGGGTTACCTAGGGAGGTGGTGGAGTCTCCTTCCTTAGAAGTTTTTAAGGTCAAGCTTGACAAAGCCCTGGCTGGGATGATTTAGTTGGGGATTGGTCCTGCTTTGAGCAGGGGATTGGACTAGATGACCTCCTGAGGTCCCTTCTAACCCTGATATTCTATGATTCTGTGATGATTCTATGAAGTAATTGCCAGGAAGGAGCCTGGGAGTGAACCTGGAAGGTTGTTGGGTGTGGGTGGGAGAAGTATGGAACAGTTGGGGTTTTTTTTGGTGGGTGGTAGGGATTGTTAGGGAATTGGGGAGTTTCCCCCATGCAGACCCTGGTTGACCCCTAGCCTCTCCCATTCAGTCAGGCACATCTGTCCCCATTCCCCATGTGTCCCTGCACCCCCACTCAGCCACTCCTCCTCCCCCGTCCCCATGTGTCTCTGCACCCCTCCTCTTCCTGTCGCCGTGTGTCCCTGCATCCCCCACTCAGCCATCCCCTTGCCCCCATCCCTGTGTCCCTGCACCCCCACTAAGCCATCCGCTTCCCCCATCCCCATGTTGCCCTGCACCCGTCCTCCCTCGTCCCTGTGTGTCCCTGCACCCCCATTCAGCCATCCCCTTCCTTCTGTTTCCATGTTGCCCTGTACCCCTCCTCGCCCCATCTCCATGTGTCCCTGCATCCTCTCTCAGCCATGCCCTTCCCCCATTCCCATATTCCCCTGCAGCCCTCCTCTCCTGTCCCCATGTGTCCCTGCACCCCCACTAAGCCATCCGCTTCCCCCATCCCCATGTTGCCCTGCACCCGTCCTCCCTCGTCCCTGTGCGTCCCTGCACCCCCACTAAGCCATCCGCTTCCCCCATCCCCATGTTGCCCTGCACCCGTCCTCCCTCGTCCCTGTGCGTCCC